TAAACCACGCATAGTGCGGAGGGGTTGCTGTTAGGAAACAACCAGTATGACCAGCTCTATAAGAACCTAAATTTCAAAAATTGTTTGATGTAAAGAGAATATTTGAAGGCAACAACATGTGGGTCTGAATATTATAGGTATCCCAGCCAGCAGGGTGACGTCAATTCTCGTCGAATCGACGTGGAAAATTGGCAATTGGTCGTCGTCAAGATTCGAAGAATGATTTACGTCATTTTGACGTGTTTCAAAAACGTATCTGATAAACGTCATTTAGACGTAACATATGCACCAATCATGTTGTTTTATTTAGAAGAAATTACTCCATGAACTGCATATCCACGACTCATGATTAAACGCTTATCAAAATAAAATAGGTACCTACCTTAGTGAAGGATTCACGTATACCCGACATGGATAAAACTAAGTGGTGAAATATGTAGAACAAATATTAATAAAAAACACCCTGATAGAGATAACTTGGAAACAGATACGAAAGATTCAAGAATTTATTATATGTATACAAATACGGTTATACCAGGTGCCTTCATGTTTTATATTGGCGCGCCACGTCAAGACATACAGATGCTTATGATTGGTCAATCCGTGCTCCGTGGCTTCGTGTGTCTTCGTTTCGCACTATGCTACCGCTACCCTTGATCAAGTTCATCGAATGTTGTAATGGCGGATTCGTGATTTTGGGTCATGGAAAACAAGGATACTATGGAAAAGTGGGGTTCAGCAAAATATATTGCAGTTCGCTGGTTATTTCATCAATTCCAGGCAGTAGAAATGTTTGTGGGAATACAATATTCCGAGGAAAGGCATTGCTCTCGTTCAGTAGAAGTGGTTGACGCCATGACGCCTCGTAAGGCTGCGAAGTGTAGTGGCCGCCTCCCAAACAGCAAGACTTTTTCAACAGGTCAATAATTGAAAAAGTAAAATCTACAAATGAAACTTGAAAGTTGTTTGATGTAGTGAGGTCGTTATTCGAAGAAGGTAATCAATAAATACCTCAAATCGTAGGTACAAGAATAATTTGAGGTTATCAGGTTGAGATTCCTTTGAAACTTGACATCTTCGTTTATGTCTATATACTATGGAATATAGTGGATTTTATGCTTATTAGTTTTATTCAGATGAAGAATACCTATGTATAATTATGTAAACAAAAACATTTCCACAACTATTGAAACTAGATCATTTGAACGGTTTTGCCAACTATCAAGGAATAGGATCATGGGAAAGTGATTTCCAGTTTCACGGTTTCTTGGTGATTTCGAAACCTGGACCTGATGCTTGGTAACTATTCGACGTGTATACGACGCCGATAATTTGGTCATCTTGACGCGTATATGACGTGAAATTGACGTGTGAATGCTAGCTGGGATATTTTTTATCATATCTCTGTAAATGAACATAATTATAATGTAATGATTATAATGTTATAACTATTATGTCTTGAATGAACATTTACCATGTTCAAAAATATTACAGAGGCATATGAATACTTATCTTTGATAGAAGTTCATACTATTGTAATGAACGGAAATATTGACCAAAATTATTACATGAACTCGAATTAGGAAGTGAAAATTGTGTTGATATAGTACAGTATGTATTTAGTTTCATTGAGAATAACCAATGTCGAAAGAGTCTGCAAGGTACCAATATTTGTAATGACCCAAAATACAGCCCAGTTATTGTTGTTGCTTGCAGGTATTGTTCTAGGGAAAATTTGGTATTATTGACAGAAAATATTTTTACAAGTCACCCACCTTAACTAATGTTCACTAGTTGATCTGAGCAAATTCAGACAGAAACTGAGACTCATGGGCTCGCAATGGTCCATTGGTATCGGAGAAGTCATAACAGTCTTAGATGAGTCTTGATGCAATATAGATAAGTTAGAAATCAACGCCAACATGTTTTAAGTTTCTTTTAGTTAGTCGAAACTGTTCAGTGAGCCACGGAAATAAAGGCAGTCTTAAAACGAACTCTTGATCGAAATCCTGACCCAGTAATCCTGCTTCACAGTCTCGTTATACGTATTATGTAGTTGATAGTAGAAATTACTAATAAGAACGTACCCAGTGAACAATTTGTTTTGATGTAATGTGTATCGCTGTTGATTGAACATTCATAGAACTGTATTAACTTTCGAGAGCTACCCGGTATAATAGTACAAGTACTGCAAGTGTACATAGTCGACAATATATCAACACCCAATATAATGTGAGCACATCTATACTTGTCAGCCGATAAGCTGAATTACTGGATAGAGATATAATTATGTATTATGAGTTGCCGTATTTCTGTATACACAAACATTCCCTTCCCTGGCTAAATATTCACGAACCCCGTGAATTAACTAACTTGTGAAGTCCACTGCAAAGGCCAACCCTATCTCAAAGTGAGGTGAATAGAAATCAGGAAACACAAGATGATTTAGTTTGTCTTATTTCCTGAATATATGAATACATTTCTTTGTCTTTTATTCCGTTAGCATAGCAACCGAACAAACTTCTGGATTTCTTTTCCCTTGTCCTTGATGTAGGACCATGAAATTACATTGAAAATGTTTCACGTTCTTAGATGAAATGACATTCAAATTCAACTTCAGATTAAATCTAGTTGAATCTACAAGTTGCGATGAGTTCTTTGTGAGAAAATATACCAAGCGTAGCTAAATGAATTCGTTTTGAAACTGAGCGTTGTGCTACTATCGACTTATTTTTCATTATTTCATTCAACTGAAGTCGTTAAATCATATTTCAGTCGACCTTATAATATTATGTGAGCAAATTTCATTAATACCAAATGATGCTGCTTCGAGTTCCTTGTCAGAAGGTATATGTATTTCTACCAACTTTAGTGAAACGAATTTTGGAAAAACTGAAGAATTGAGCTACTATGAACTTTTTATTGTTTTGGGTAATTGAAGTTAGTTGATTCTCGTGCTTTATTTAACCTTTGAACGGGTTCCTTGTAACGAAATACATTTTCACCAACTCCAGTGGAAGAAAGTTAGTCAAGAATAATAGTTTGAACTACCACCAGCAGCCTTATTAATATTTTGCGAAACAAAGTCGGTATTTTGTATTCTATTCAGCGTGATCTTATTCTAGTATTTTTCATAATTTTTGTATCGAGATTTCTTACCGAATAAAACTCAAGCTTCAAATAGAAACCAGACATTTTTTCGAGATCACGAATGAACACAATGATTCATTGAAGTGGAACAGAAACCAACTGAAACACCCAGTGAAATTATTCTTATCACTTGAAGTGCACGAAAAGGAAATGTTCTTCGGAAATCTCTGCTATCATCCCTTCACTAGCAATACCAATCAGACGAACTAGACAAGCCCAGTCAGCACATCCTTCCGTTGTCAACCTCGAAAGATGTCGAACAGCACTTTATCAAGACTCCTTCATCCATAGAACGGCTAGGCTCTGGAATTCATTGCCTGTGGAAGTATTCCCAACAACATATTATAATCTCCAAAAGTTCAAAAAAAATTCCAATACCTACCTCCTGTCCCTATCCTCCCTAGGAAAAAGATCGTGCGTACCTAGAGACGAAAGGGAGAGGAGGAGGGTATTAGATTTTTTGGAACTTTTGGAGATCATAAGTTCGAGATTTACAACAACAGGATGTTTGTCGAGTTCGTATGATTGGTATTAAAAAAAACTTTCATTTCCAACAGGTTTTTCAATAACAGGAAATGCTACAAATAAATATCAGCTTTCAATTATTAATTACACTTGTGACAGAATAATATGAATAACATGAGACAAAGACAAGAATGAGATAGATTATATCTAAGAAATGCAGAATACTACAAGATGTACAGTCGTATTAAAAAAAAGCGAACAAGTATTTCGGAGGGAGAAATTAACGTCATCCTATTTGCGTAAAACGAGCTCCCGGGAATGAATGCTTACCAAATGTTGACAGTAGAGTAATCATAGGTTCTCAAAAACACAAAGCATTGGCTGAGCCAATTCTACACAACGAGAACTGGAATGCCGAAATCTTCTATGTTTAAAACTTGTACTCTTTTTCATTGAATACGACTGTACAACTATTACTAGTGAATATAATCTTACAATTTATTAATCACGTCTCTCAGTGAGTCATGATTAATATCACACACATGAAGAATTTTTTTTGAAGTCATCACACATAATATGAATTGGAGATTTCAGCATAATGCTTGATCTAGTAGCAACTTTGTAAGAACATGTTTGATTGTCTACTGTTTAATCTTGGAATGAGAAAGTTTATTTGATTGAGAAGTACAGAGCAATCGATTTGATTATGCATTAATTTGTGAAGAAATGTCACACTCAAAATTATTCGACGTCTTTCTAGAGAGGTCATTCCGAAATCATCCAGAAGGATTTGGTTATCAATTCCTCTAGACGGGTAAGTTCCATACACATTCTTCCATGAATATTTTAAAAATTTTCTTTGAATACTCTCAATTCGGTTCCGGATATTGGGTTGTCGGATACCATATTCAAGTTTAGATCTTATATACGAGTAAGAATTAATTTTTTCTACAAACGCTTTACAAAGTAGCCTCTGACGCTTTCAAATTCCAACAAAGTTGACGTTTTCCCAGAAATGTCATTCTTTGACAGCATTTGCGCTCGTGAGCGGAAATATTGAAAAAACGCTCGCACATCTCTGTCCCCCGAGGCATATAACCTCCAGAAATTTAAGAAGAACACCAATTCCTACCTTATTTCCCTTGGTTTTCACGATGTCCTCTGAATATTACAGGATATCCCTTTTCGTGGGAACCAGAACATGAAAAAACGTTTGAAATAAGAGTGACCGCCTTAGGAGTAAATCCAAGAGGGATCGTGATCGAGTGTGTCAAAGGCCTCACTATAATCTAAAAGCACCAGACAAGTATTCGTTGTTACGTCCACCGCGCGGAAACATCTTCAGTAATTGAAAGAAGAGCTGTTGTCTGATTCATTCTACTCACCTCTGAACTCAACTTTTGCAAATTTCTCCCCCTTCGACCTGGGGATCTGAACCTGCTTCAGCCTCACCGAAATCGACATCGCGGCAGGATCAAACCGATCGCGCGCGTCACAATACTCGTCCTGCTGAGGGTAGCAGGACACAAGTCCTGCGTGTACGGCACGACACTCGACTCCTGCGAACGGAGAACTTGTTGATCGCAGTGTGCGGTGTTTGCAGAAGCTGGATCATCGTTGCGCAGGAGCTCGTTTCTGGATATAATATTAGGTAGGTGTTTGAATGCCTGCTCCCTTTCCACGTTGTTGGGATTCCCGTGGGAATCGGGGTGGAAGTATTATTTACAGATTCTAAATAAGCCAGGGGTCGATAATTTTTCGAGCTGAAAAAAATAATAGTAGAATGGAACCCATTGGAGAAGGAAGAGAATATAACAACGATGAAGGAGAGAAATTATAGGCGATCTGAGGTCAAGAAGTGGAAGGAGGTGAGTTTCTGGACGTTTCGGGAACGAATCTGCTCCCGTTCTCAACATAAAAATGCGCAAATATTCTTCTTCTGAAGTTGTGTTTCTACAGTTTGACACTTCTCAGTGACAAATGATGTTGGCATATGGATGAATGACGATGTTGTTATACAAATGAGTTACAGGATGTGTTCATCAATTGATCTTGAATCGTTAGAAGAATGCAAGCGGATTCCTTGAGTTTTCTCTATTGGTTGATATCTTCCTTCCCTATGATTTGAATATTATTCCACTCTGCCATATGTTGTCCATTTCTAGGAAGAATATGTTCATCCTTACTGAGAGAGGTCTCTTCGTTTCACCTTTATAATACTTCCACAAATACAAAGTATACTATAGATACAATTTCTTGATTATTGTTCTTCATTTTTCGGTTTTGTTTGATTTAGACTTCCCGACCTCAGATCGCCTGTAATTTCTCTTTCCTTTGATCTTTGTTATATTCTCTTTCTTTTCCAATGCGGTTCATTCTACTATACTTTATTTTCACTTTCTACCATTTTCAAAGGCTTCAGCACTGAAATTGAATATTTACTTCATGGCTATCAGGCCAATTTTACTGTTTGCCTCGGTAGTCTGGGGCCACACGGCCAAATCTCATAACACCAGATTACAAGCATTACAAAACAAACTCGCCAGATTGGTGAAAAGGATCTCCCTGGTATGTTCGGAATGATCAAATCGTCAGGGATCTGAAACTCCCTTCAATCATGTCCATCATTGGAGAACATATCAAACTAAGTGACGAGGACATGAGATAATATCCACCTTATCTGCAGGAATAACGAAAACATCAAGAAACTAGCAGAAGAGGACGAGATAGTGAAACTACAAACTTGACTTTTTCAGTGCCAATTGGGATTAGGCCGAGTTCTGATCTTCAGTTGATTGCTCATTTCACAATATTCTATAATTCACTATGCATCATCCCTTCGTGTTATTTCGACGAATATACATATTGTTTAAAAGTTACGCGTTGTTCAGTGTGTATACTTCAAATCCTAGACTATGAAAATCCACAGTCCACCAGTAAACCATCTATCAAAACTACGAAATGAAATAACATTTTGTAGTCCTTCGAGCCGGATATATAAAACAGTGACGTCTTCATCCGGAGATAAATTGTTAAAAGTGACTTCTCTGTATAGAGAAGATGACTCCGCTTGATTGAGATAAAGCCGAACTGACTTCTCTTTATTGAGAAAAATCCAATATTGTGTATATATAAGACTGAATATCAAAAACCGAACTAAGTGACTTCTCTGAATATGGAGAGATCGCCGAAACAAAGCAAGTGTAGACAATATTAGCCCATATAGTGAATTCTCACAACGGTGATAAAACTGGTTTCCATGACGTCGGAGACATACGATCGAATGGGGAAGTTCCCTTCAGATGAATTTTCATAAAATAACTGCGGAACTTTCCAGTTTCATGTCCACGCTGTACATAATGGCGACCGATAAAGTCCAAGTCGTTTTCATTCTCAAATTGAAGCAATTAATAATTTTCGGGGCGGCAAACTGTGACGTACATCCTGAAGCTGAAGGTGAAGAATATAGCTAGCGAATAGCTAACGAATGAAAAACGGATGAAAAATAGAAGAAGAAGTAAAACTGATAAACAAAAACATACATAACCACGAATCCACTCGGAGCAGGAATGCAGAAGGTAGTTGGCTTCATTCTGGCAGGTTATGGTTTTGTTATTTATGCATTGAAATATCTCGAATAGAGCTCGGTCTTGAACGGAAATATCATTGAATCAATATCGGCTACATTCAAGGATACTATATCCTTCCTAATTTACTGCCATCGGTCAGAAAAGAATGGAGCCGACATCCATGGCTCCTTCCTCTTGTTGTGCTTGTCAATATTTTGAGTTGTGTGGACGGTATTAGGCGCTGTTGCAAGATATAATCTGCAACTTTCCTAGAAAATAGATCCGTTTCATTAAGGAACGAATTCATTAGCAAAAAAAGACTGACAAGTTATGAATAACATATTGCTATATAACGATATTGAGAAATTATAGATACTTTTGCGAAATATCAGTTTATTAGTAATCAACTTCATTCAGCCAATGAGAGATTAATGCTAATTATTCATAATAATTGACAAAGTTGGTTTGAAGACCCTATTTTATCCCATTGTTGTTATGATATAGTTATTATGCGTTCAAAGAACAATTTTCGCAAATCTAGACATAGTTTATGATGTCGGCAACGTCGTACTGGCAGAGGGAATCGTATTCTCACGACTCTGTGTGAATGTGGATTTTCAGAAATTAAGTCATAGGAATGGTGGAGGAGCCAAATTCCTCTTTTATATATTTTTTTCTGAAATGAGATTTGATCCTACGGAGAAAAAAAACGTATATATTGATTTTTTACAAAATTCACAGCGAGATGAACACCACAATATAAGAAACTCCCCCCTCCATCCCATTCGCTAGAGCTGTGAGTGACGAAGCCGGTACTTGAGACCAAACCGCGGCTTTCCACCACAGCGTCCCGATGGGAAACCTAGAGGCAGCGTAAAGACCTGTTCGTACCAGAAACAAAATGAGTCCTTTCCTATTTTATTATCTTGTCATATTCTTTTGGCGTGGTACTGTGTAGAAACGATGACAGATATACAAAACCCTCGACAAAACCTATTGAGAGAACGAGATTATCTAGATGTTCTATTAGCCAGTTTCGAGAAATTCCTTAAGGACGTAGTTAGTGAAACAGATGGAATCAACACCTCTTGGCGAGCAAAATAATTGAGTTGAAAGACAGGAGGGCTTATTCAAATACTTCGATGGACTTCAGGGTAAGTTTATTGAGGTACATGACGATATTGTTGTTGCTCAGGTAGCAATTCCTAATATGGGATCAAATTCAGCTGTAGATCCTATGGAATCAAATGCAGATTCAATCTCAAACCGATCAGTTTCTGCTACAAACTACGTAGCCCAGTCACCTTACGAAAAATAGCGGGAATCGGAGCCAAAGTTTTGAAAATTGGTGTACGTGTTCCTATAAGCATTACATCTTACCAAAAAAAAGTCACCTCCCGTACCTGTAGAGCTTGCGCCGCCATCTTGGAAAATAGGTGCAATATTTCAGTTTTTCACGTATATCTCGGTAACTGTCAACTCAATCGCGATAAAGGTGATGAGGTAAAAGGAAGCTAACAAAATTTCTAGTAAAAAAGTATCTCTTAATTATTTTCGAAATATCCACGGTTTTGGACTTATGGCGCCACAATCATTTGGCAAAATATGATATTCTACTGCAAACCGACTGGACAAACTATAATTCAGTTAGATAGTTACGCTCCTGGTGACTTGCAGAAAAGCATTTATAGCTATAATCGTTCAATTCAAGTCCAGACAGGCTGAAATCATAATTACGTTTTATCCTATCAGTATTCGCTTTTTTTATGTTCCTCCGGGAAGGGATATTCTGTAATGGTCAGAGAACATCGTGAAGACCAAGGAAAATAAGGTAGGGATTGGTGTTCTTCTTTTCTGAAGTACAAAGCATGTCATCTTCGTCATTTGAGAATACATGCATCGGGTCGGGTACCAGACCAACAGCACTCCCCTTCCACCCCCAAAGCTCAGGACATTTTTGATTACCCAACCACTTTTGTATCTGGTGATTGACTCTGAAGGAGTGCTGCCTCAAAGCTGCTTCCGTCGGTGGCAGGAAAGCCAGATCGACTTTCTTGTTGGTAGCAGATTTAGCGAACATATTGTACCGGTGCTTGTTCAATGATGTTTCCGTTGTATGGGCACCATACGGAGCTAGAACGAATCTTTCACCTGCTGCAGATACTTCACTCGTAGCTTCCGGGTTGTTGAAAGTCTTCGCAACTTCTCGTAATGACGGCTGGTCCTTCATGAGTTTGAAGCATTTCGACTTTCATTTTCTGAAGAAACATGATGTGGTATCACCACATCCAAAGGCATGTAAGAAAAGGATAGTGCTCTGTAATTTAGTACTGGTTTGTAGCGGAAACAGTACCTTTTTGCCTCTACATTGCCTCTTTTTGGTTTGACAAAATAAATGTTGCGTTCTGCTGGAGCCAAAGCTATGGGTAGAATAAGTAGATCTACATCTTCTCCAACAACGGTGACTTGGGTAGAGGAAGATATTTCAATAGATGTCTGTATTATTAGCGAATCCGCATTGTCCACTGCTTGCTTTGTGCCTTGAACCCTTCGTTTTTTGTATCTGTATGAAGTTCAGCTATTATTGCATGAATGGAGACAACGAAAATTTCATTTCAATATTCATTCAAGATATCTCAGAATTATTTCAAATCTGATTCGATTGAGTTTATGTAGGGGCTACAATTCATTTATTTCAACATCAAACTCTTGCTCTTCGAGCTACTCTAGGTTACAGGTCGGCTCACTTGAGAAAACCTGGATGTGGCAACACTGGTATTCTGTAATGGCCGATCGCTGTTGCGAGGATCCTCGAATGTGGCGCCGACTCTCTGACATTTACTTGTAGATGGAATATATGTATATCAGAATAATTGTGAGTAAGTTTCTCAAATATCGCATATTGTTTTACGATTTACTGATGAACCATGCACTACACGAATATTTATGTGGGAGCCTTTTTTTTTT